TTCGCAAATGCTACAAAAGCAGCTAAAAACAGAATTCCTTAGTCCAGCGTTGCCTGAAGAGACAGAGACAGCTGAAGTGCAGCCAAAAATGCCTCCTGTCGGTGTGGAGGATTTTGATAAAGCCAATTGGAATGATCCGTTTCAGGTGTCACACTATGCCATGGATATATTTAATTATTTAAAGGCCCGAGAGGCTGAATTCCCGATAGACGATTACATGAAGCGCCAAGTGCATTTGTCTAAATGGATGCGTGCTCTGCTTGTGGACTGGATGGTGGAAGTTCAAGAAACATTCGAACTTAATCATGAAACTTTGTATTTAGCGGTAAAAGTGGTCGATTTGTTCTTGTGCAAAGTTGTTATCAATAAGGACAAGCTGCAATTATTGGGAGCGTCCGCTCTATTTATAGCGTGCAAATTCGACGAGCGCACACCACCATTAATTGAGGACTTCTTATACATTTGTGATGGTGCTTACAAGCATGAAGAACTAATACATATGGAGATGTGCACTTTGCGAACTATTGACTATGATCTCGGAATACCTCTTTCTTATCGTTTCTTGCGACGTTATGCTCGATGTGCAAAAATAGCCATGCCTACACTTACTTTAGCTCGCTACATATTGGAGTTGTCTTTGATGGATTATGATACCATTGCTTTTAGCGACTCTAAAATGGCCGCAGCCGCTTTGTTCATTGCCCTGCGATTGGTTGGTGAAGAGGAAGCATGGAATGCCACTTTAGAATACTATTCTGGTTATAAGTTAATGGATTTTGGAGAAATTGTACCAGTATTAAATGAGGGATTGCATCGTAAACCGAAAGGCACCATCAAAACCATACGCAGCAAATATTCACATAAAATATTTCATGAGGTAGCCAAAGTGGCATTGATGACTACTGAAGAACTTTTTGAAAACAATTTAGACTTGGCTTCATATTCAATGAGTGCACCTATTAATACATTAAAGAAAGCAGAAGGTGGAGGAGACGCTTCGTAAGACTCACAAATATTACTAATACCTATTAAAAACAAAAGGAAAAAAAGCATGTTGTGCCCAAATATTGAAAAAGAAAAGAAACGCAAAACTAGTTCAAATCTTGATTTTTATATATAAGATATTAGAATTTCTCCTTTATTATCTAAATGTTTGTATTTTTTATTTAAATTTAATCAATTACTCTGATATCTTTTCGTTTGTTACCCTTTTTATTTCATTACGCTGCTTTACAACTATCCTTGCTATCACATCCCTCTCAATGTTGCTTTTTATTTAGTAATATTTAGTACGCTTTTATTCCAAACCGCTTCATTAAATTTAGTAAATAGAAGTTTGTTAAAAATTGACTTGACAGTGTCTTATGCACAGACTTCTCTTTATAAACAAACTCGTCTGTTCTTAGATTGATCGGCGGAGCAAATTTCCAATTCTTTCATTTCACTCTAACCTCATTATCACGACTAACCCCCTTCTCCCGATCATTACACATAAGTACATAAGCCGTAAGAAGGAAAGATATTTTGTTAATAAAAATCATTATAACGTGTACTCAATGCGGGAACTTTTACTTGATTTTATAAAATTGCAAATGCGTTTTCATTAGTTTCTACCTTGAATCTAATGAACAGGCATTCTGTTCGTGTCGTTGAGATTTAAATTGCCATTTTATTTTTTCATATATACTTTCATATGTACTTTCGCACATGCTGCTGCATATTTTTCATATTTTTTGAAGAGCGTGTTTTAAATATTTTTTTGCTTGCTTTTTTTATTTTATTATCTCCTTTTTGTTTTCCTTAAGGAATTTCCTATATTTTACATTTAGTTATTTTTCTGTTCCTTCTTTTTTTGAGTAATAAAATTTTTCCACTTGATCAAATATTTCTTTTGATTTAGATAGAGACCTAAGAAAATTGCCTAAGCATACGTCAAAGGGAATCGTGCTTCATTTGGATACTTTTTAACACAACATATTGCTCGTTTTATGTTTTTTAACTTGTAACGCGTAAGGAATAGAGTCCATTTTGCTTTTCAGAACAGAGGAGTTCCGTATGTGTGGTTGTGTCCTTTGAACGATGCGCCCGCTAACGGAAAATTCCAATATTCTTCTCAAGTTTAAAGCCGATATCTTAATTTTTGGTGCGAGAAGAAACAGTCAATAAAAGACAGATGCATAGACGGACGGACGTGGCTGTGCTACTGATCGCGATTATATACTACATTGTACATAGTTTATACATGTGCAAGGGAGCGAAATAGCTTCCGAGAGGCCTTTCAAATTTCAATTATATCGAAATTGGCCAAGTGGTCCCCAGCAATCATTTTGGAATCACGAACACAGAAGAGAAGCTTCATTGTTGATACACAGACTGATGTTTAAATACAATGAACTGACAAATTTTTGTGTGCCCAATCCAAGTGTTTCCCACAAATGTTGGATAATTTCTCTTTGTGTTTAGAGCAGGGAACAACAAATCGCTATTAAGCTGTTTTGATTGCATGCTTAATATTTCATGGAAATTTCTCGCTGCCATAAAGAGGTTATACATAAGCTACTCAAACATCCTATTTAAAGTCGTGCTAGAGATCTTGCATTTACTGCAATTACATTTCAATGGGATGTCTGCACACTGTGTCCTTTTTAGATGCAGACATCTTTTGGCGCAATGCAAGGCGAAATATTAAGGACGCTTTTTTTTTTTTTTTTTTTTTTTGTAAACTATATCAAGAGACAACGCCTTTCCCAATTCCGAGAGCCTAATTTGCCAATGTGGATGGTCAGGTCCTTGTCAAACAAACCGGACAGGTTGATATTTTTGCTTTATATAAAAACAAAAAAAATATTTCCAAAAGAATTTTCTGTATAATGTATTATGAGACGGTTGTTATTCATATTCTGCTTACATTTCCGTTTAGCTGAAGGCTGTTCTTCAACTAAGCCATAGTACGTATGCAGTACATATGCATGCAAACTATTGTTTGTTTGTCTGTAGAAAAATGGTTTTGCAACATTTCAGTTGACTGACTGACTCATATAATGAAACGTAGAGAAATTGATATATTTTATGAAGTTTAATGGACTTTGTTGTCCAACCCTTACGTGCTAGTATATAAATCAAAAGGGTAGATTAGAAAGAGTTATTTAGTCGAGAACATTTGCATAAATGTTGATATTTCTGATTATACAAACTAAACGTAATGAAATTGGAAATTACTTCAACTGCTTTGTAGTCTGGAAATGAGTTTAAGTGATTGGATGAATGAAAATTGACATTCCCGAAATTAACCGAAAGGGAGCACGAATTCCTTATTATTAAAGTATTGCTTACTTCAAACCAAATCAAAAATCACTCACCGATTTTGTAGACATTGCTCAGTTTGGTAAATCATATGGTTTTTTTCTTTGTCTATGCAAGCATAAAATGAAAAGGACAAATAAACAAATTATAGTCGGGCAAGGCCGACCATACAACAATTCGTCTCGTACAACGATTCATTCATTTTCGTGACAATACGCCAAAAATAGTGAAAAATAGTAAAAAAAAATATGCAAGAAGCCGAACAGAAAGTTAGCTCCAAATTGTTCTTCAAAACGGATGATTTTCACGAAATTTCTCCTCCCCAGAAAAAGTGCAACAAGTTCTTCCAATATTTGGAGAACTCGAAAATAGGGATAAAAGGCGGAATTAATAAAAAATAATTGTGGATAAGTGAAATTCTGGAAGATGAATATGTATGTATGTGTGTGTAATGTGCGCCGTTTGCTTTTTGGAAGTACGTGCGAATGTTGTGTGCTTAGAATGCATACATGCGTGTACATACGACGAATTGTAAGCCTTTAAGAGTTTATGTATGAAGCACAAAAGTGCGCTGAGAAGCAAGTATCAAGCAACTCAGATCATTTTCATTTCACTCTACATATACGCAATTTTTATTCTATATATATGCAACATAAAGGGCAACTGGAAAATAACGTAGTCTCTTAAGAGTGAGAATAAAAACTGTCGTTAAATGGAGACTTTTATTTGCTTATTAGTCGGGATAAGAGATATGTATAAAAAAGTTGTTTTGTAGTAATATATGTTCTTGTGACCTGAAACACTTGTGGCGCTACTTAATATTACAAAGTACTAAGCCAAGTGGCCTTGGCATCTGCACGCTCACGAATTCATATTCGATTCAATTCATATGAATGAAAAAGGACTTGTAGTTACAAACAAATGCAACTGGGGAATGAAGTCTATCGTTAGGCGCTTTACTTCATTCAATGTTTTAAGATTTTTATTGTCTTGAATATTTTTGAATATTAATCTGACAATAGTCTAGAAACTAGTCTGCGGCAAAGAGTTTCTAATTTTACATTCAACGTATTCGGGTCGCCAAGAGTATGCATGCCCAGTGCAAGTAGTCACCAACGGTCATTTCATACGTGTATCCAACATGATGAACATAAAGCACAAAAATTGATTCATGTTTGCTATCAAAATTAGTTTTGTTTGGGAAGTAAAAGCAATCTCTCTCTATTCTATAGATTTCTATGCCCAAAATCTTCTCATTTACATACAATTACAAACGTACATAAGTGCACACAACATGTCATAAAATTGATTATTAATTTAAAAGCATAGCGAGTTAGGTGTACTTTACATTAATTTAAATTACTTGCATTTAAATTAAATCGAAGTGAGACACACACAACCATTGAATGTTTGCATTCCCTTAATATTTCAAATGTTGACTTGACTTTTGTTGACCCGGAGTTCCCTTTCTAGTGCAGGTAACCGTATCTTTTGGGAAGATTTTCATTACTTAAATTGACTGTACTCTCTTGGACTGGTACTGGCACATGGCAAATAGGGAAAGATGATCCTGGTCCTCATACCGATAGCGATAGCGATACTGCTTGTACGAATAAACTCACGATTATATACGCATGTGTGTATTTGATAATTCGTTTTAAAAGTAATTTCACTAACACGATTAATACAAAACTTATCTGATATGAACTTGTTTAGGCGAGATTTAGGCGAGAACTTGCGAGTGCAAGATGCAAGAGTGTGCCTGATTTGCTCAACTTAGTCTTTACCAATTTATTTACATATACATACATAATATCTCAATCTTCTCATATCATTAATTATGCAACCACATATGCCACGTATGCTAAAGATGAACATTTAAATGAAAATTAAATTTTCATTAGTAAACACAATCTCCATTAGATTAACTTTATGAGATGTGTGCATATTTGCTTATTTGCTTATGTGCACGGCGCAAAAATGCGAAGGAAATTGAGAAACAAGAAAAGATGTTATATTTATATTTACTTTAATTTTATCACTAAGTTTTAGTCAAACTCGTATTATTTGCATAACAAATATTCTTATATGCAAAGAAGGAAGATTTGCTATTTGTGTGTTTATGTGCAGCAAAACAAATATTCACAAATATGCACGAGAATTAATTTGCGAAATGTAGCGTGCAGCACTTAATCAATATAAATTTAATGATAATCGTATTCGCTGCAAATGAGATCAATGAAGAACCGCAAGTAATGAATCAAAGTATTCTGCATTACTACATCGTGCTTTCATTAGTAAACCCATTGAAATTCGAATGAAAAGAATAATGTTCTCGTTTAGAATTTTTCAATGTATATCAAGCGAAGACTACCTATCACTGATGTCTAATTTATACGACACGCGTCAGTTACGCTTTCATTTAATACAACGCTCTATGTGAACACATCTATAAATCGCAACTTGCGCCATTCGAGTTCCCAGTCCCGTATAGGTGAACGCAATTTCTCCGCTGTAATAATTCACATATGCATAGCCATCGCGAATCGACATTGTTTTAATGATCTATGACAGACTGAATGCAGTTGCTGTGAATGCTAAGCAAAAATGAAAGCATTTAACCGTAATGAACGTTCAATTGTGTAAACTTGTACACACCAGCGTAGCTTTACGCATACTTTGAATGATTGCCACCTCCCAAGCTTGCCCACTGCTACACGCGGTGAAACTACATTCTAATTATTCTATATAATGCTTTATGGTTGGCATTCACCTATGCTTTATTTGACCATCTGCGATTTGTTATTTTACAACGTTAAACATTCAGTCGATTTTCGAACGTGAGTTCAGATTTTCAAGCAACGAACTCAGCTGCTTCTCGGCACACACACACACACACACGCACACACACTTTTACATAATTACTACTAGACTTCTTGATATTTCAACGTATCACTGCTCTACATAGCATCGCGAAAAACGCAAAAGGTGTCAAGTCAAAATAAACAAATTAAAAAAAAAGAACAAACTATAATGAAAGTAAAAAAATTATGTTCGGTCGTGGTCGAATCTTTTATACTCATCATCGTTATCTTAGAAAAAGATTAGAACTGAGAAAGGAAAAGAACAAAATTTTCATACTTGTGCGTGTTGTACCTTATGAGTAACAAGCAAAGAAAGCGGAAATCAA